GAATATCTAATCTTATCTTATCTTTGTGTTTTGGACTGCTGGCTGGACAAAAGGAGACATTTGAAGATATCGCCGTGACATGGACCTCAATATTAATACTGCAACAATATTGTAGGGATGACAATCGATGCTTTTACAGAATATGTACACAATGAGATTTCTGATAAATAATCATCAGTAGTGTGGATATAATCACTAAACAGTTAGTCTGCCCAGAAAATGACACCACTTGGCTGTAATTCACCCTTTAAAACCAGGAAACCACAACTCTTCTGCTGCCTTATTATTATGATCTCCGATATCTAAGATGATATCTATCTATCACAATCAGTGTAATATGGATTTATAGCCCAGCCCTGTTGCTTTTGGAAAGTGTGATTTGTTTCACAACAGTTAATCGATTAATTGAGAAAATAATGTAGAGATTATTTGATATATAAAATAATCATTACTCGCAGCCCTGAACTTCAGTGTGTACCTATATGTAACTGTTTGTGTGGCTGAAAGAGGACAAAGTGCCAGCTAAACAAGTGTACATGTTTCATAGAAGACACGGCCGTTGTGGTTGGCTTTGTTTTTGTAGCCATACCTCTTAAATGAGATAAGCTGCGGTGGTGTGTACAGTAGCTCTGGAAGCCAGGCAAGAAGACCTGAGAGGAACCAGACAGCACCAGGCCTCATTTTCCCAACTCTCTCCCATTTTCTCTCTGTTTGTTTTCCCTCCTGCTAGACAGCTCGGTCCGGAGATGGCGTGTGCAGATTGTTATTTGTGGAGGGTGTGAGCAGCCAGGAGTGCTTCCTTTTTGCTCCTTTTCCCGTAGTCTGAGGGTGGGTGTGTTTGCCTCGAAGGAGGGATTCAGAGGGCATGAGGCAGCTAATGGTCTGTCCTGGTACACTTATCCAACACAAGTATGTCTGGGGCACATCTGCACATCTCTCCTGGGTGTATTTTACACTACATGTGGGGGTTGAAACCTCACAGTTAAAGGTATAATGGCATAATGAAAAAGGCTTACTGCACACCAAAGCTCAGCCCTAGACCCACTTAACAAAATTAATTTATTTGGCCATTTTCACAAGCACTGGAAGAGAATTTGGTGTGTGCTTCATCAGTGATTGAAAAGCGCACATTTTCTACTCTTTCAGAACTTGTGTAAATCTCAGCAGGTCTAAAGCTGAGCTTTAGTGTGCCGCCAGCCTTCCTTTAGTGACTCTCCCGTTGCCTGAGTTTCATTAGCAACCAACTGAATTACACTGCTGTGCAGGGGGATTTCTACTTGTGTCATTAAATGCTTACCATGTTGAGAAGGTAATCCAGCCCCCCAGTGGCTGCATGTGAGGCAGGGTTTGGAAAGATTGCTTGTTTCCCCTCAGTGTGGCAGGACATGGTTGTTCAAGTTGACATTTACTTTGTTTGACTTGGGGTTGAACTGTGTGGCCTGTTCCAGAGAGCCTCCCAGTCTCTAAATAGAGCCCAGCAGATGCCCAGTCTCTTTGTAGAGATGTCTGGCAGGATAAAAGTCCAAGCCAAATTCCTGTTGGGGTCTTGGGAATTTCGCCTGATTTGACCAGTCAGCAGATAAGACTCCATGGACTCAAACTGTACAGCACAGTCCATTGGACCATGTGTTTATGTAGGAGAATCAACTGATGTGTGATTAAAAATGACTCATGACGGGAAAATACAGCGGGTTACAGCCTGAAGGGAGTTATTGTATCAAAATACATCTGCTTAAACTGTGATTGCTCCCTCCTTCTCTAAATGGATACCTAATTGATGCCCATAGGAATGCCACAAGTCAGGCATACTGAGGAGTTCCCCTACAAATTCTAGGGATTGAGTGTCTTTTCACCAGGGTAGATGTTAGGAGAGCTTGGACAGAGAGCCACTGCTGTCTGCTTCTAAATAAAAATGAAATTCAGACAAAATGATGACCACAGGAAGCTATTTCAAACGGACATTGGTGAGCAAAGACTCTCTGTATAGTGTAGTTCTGATGGTCCTGTAAGCTGACAGTATGTGTGTATATCTCACCATGTCTTTGTAAGGCAGCTTTGTTTTGTCTGTCCCTTGGCATCCAGGAAAAAACATTCCTGTGTTTTCCAGAAGTATTTTTAAAATTCCAAATGGGTTATAAGTTCTACACAATGTAAACATGGTTTTTTATCTGTTTTCTGCAGATGAATGAACATTGATAAGAGGAACCTGACGGACTGAGCTTCACAGGACTGGATGTTTGTTTAAGTCTTGCTAGAGTACATGATGGGTGGGACTAGCAAAACACAACCAGTCCAAATATGTGCACTGTTTGAAAGTCAGCTTAGTGCATAACACGGGCTGAATTGCCCAGATGTGGTGTGCACCACGATCTGGCACAAATATGTTCAACCAGAGGCTGAAGGATTCTTAGCTCAGGACTGAACCTTCCTCGCATTTTCCCCAGTGGGCTCCAGATAATAGCTTTCAAGATTTTATCTATAGAACAAGTCTGAATAAGTCCAGATATTGTGGTGAAATTTCCGAAAGCTCCTGTTTATTTGACTGTATAAACTGCTCCGAGTGATTTGACCTTTGAACCCATCAATGGGGAGTTAAAGAGGACTTTGAACAGGAAG